TATATATATATATATATATACTGTATATGTGTATATGAATATTCAATATCTTTATGTTGTATATACGACTAGAACTCCTCGACATACGTATCACATACTAATATTGACTATCGTGTTTCAGGACGAGACTCGGAAGCGCTTCGCGTCCCGAGCCTTGGCGACATTCTCGTTCTTCCGTTTGATTCGAAAAATCGAAAATTCTTAAACATCGCAAATCCTTCCAATTTCCTCGAATCTTTTCATCTTCGCGATTCCTTTATCTTTGTAAATCCAGATAGACTTCTATTCTAAACTTTTACTCTAAAGAAAAGACTTATTCTAAAGAAAAGGGAACTTTTCTTTAAAATAAAATCTACACTTTTTCATGAAGGAAGTACAAAGAAACTATTAATCGATTGGAATACTGTCTCTTCGAGAATCGACTATCGGATGAACGAAAACGGCGCCATATCGTCTTATTGCTGCATCATTGACTGTAAGATTGTAAGACAGTATTAATCACTTAATCGCTAGTACTTTCGCAATACTTTTATCCAGACTTCATCTGGATTTTTCAAAGTGAGCTTACTTAATCCACTGGAGGGAATTGGTGCTACTTGAAAACACCATACATTTTATTTTATTTTTTTTTTTTCGCTGAGAAGTTGTTTTCTTAGAATCTAAATATATGTAATATGTATTGTATACATGCATATACAAGGTAATCCTTAAGTATTCTAAAAGATTTAAAGAATGATCTTTTACATTAATTTGAAACGAAACTTTATATATCCAAAACAGTTTAGTTTCAAAGATACAGGGTGTCATAGTTAAAAGAAAATTTCATTTTTTCAAAAAATTTCAAAAATCACTCAGATCATTTTGATGAAATTTTACATGTACAAAATTTTCTTGAATTAACCCGAATGGTTTTCGAATTTTTGTGGAAAAAATGAAATTTTCCTTTCAACTTTCACAGATACCCTGTATCTTTAAAAATAAGCCTTTTAGACGTAGTCATATGAAATCACAAATTAATGTAAGAAATTACCCTTTAAAATCTTTCAATATATAATACTTAAAGACTACCGTATATATATATATATATTATATAATTCTTGCTTTCAGCGTTTCCTTTTTAATATCTCAATGTTAATTTTTGATTCTTTAAATGTGACATTTCTTTTGTCTACAGTTTATTTCAATTCTCTTGTTTGCACGAAAAAGATAAAACTGTATTCGTTTTTCCGCGTTTTGATTTTGTAGATAAATGATACTTAATATTTAAAAGATTAATCTATTCTTCTCTCATTCTCTCTTTTTTCTCTCTCTCTCTCTCTCTCTCTCTCGAGAAATTAATTAGCACTTCAGTAATATTCTATTAATTAATACTTTCATATCCAAAGGCGGTTCCATTCTTGAAAGTACTTCTTATCCTCATCTTTAAAAATGCCTTCACATTTCCATTACTTTCATCTCTAAAAATTCACGTCCATCGTATCTTACATTAATTACCGATCGTCACTTTTTTGCTTCTATAAACTTTAAATTGTATATCTCGCTATTTATTCGACGTTCTTATCGATTTAATTGCAATTGGTTCAAATTCTCGTGCGATCGATTCATGGAAAAAATTTTACGGAAAAATAAAAAAGAAGTGGAGCCGCAGAAGAAAAAGGACAAAAAAATTGACTCCTTAATTCGATTCTCCGCTGGCGACCGTGCCATCAGTCGGAGGGCCAGTCACGATCTGAGGTTCGTTTGCGGGTAGTCCCTGCATCTCCTGTACCCCTTGGAACAACTTGCCGGGGAATCCCTGCAGAAGGTCGTAGGAGACCGGCGTGGGTGGCAAGGCGGTGGTGTGCGCGTGCGGCGATTGCAGGACGGCGATTACTCTTCGAAGCTCCTCCAAGGCGTTCCCTGGGCGAGCAATACGTTTTTTACTTTAACCGATCAATTTAAATTCGATTTAATTCAAAATTCAACAACGAAAGAAGACATAAGGTTTTCGCATCAAAGGAACTTATTTACCTTGCATAAGAATGTAATTTTTCGCCAGCAGCAGGGTGGCTATCTTGGACAGCTTCCTCACCGAAGGGCTGTGAGCATAAGGAATAACGGAGCGAAGCTCGTCCAGTGCGTCGTTCAAGTCGTGCATTCTCCTGCGCTCTCGCGCGTTAATGTTCAGCCTCACGCTCTTCCCCTGACGAGTCGTTTTTGACTTCGGAGGGCAGTTCAGTCGGGAAGCTGAAGGTCTAAAAAGAATCGTGGCACTGCTTATGTATGAATATTATTAATTACATTTAATTAAAATTTTTTGTTCTTCAGAAACATATTTCATCAAATGTGTGTTATATTAATCGATTATACACTTATTTCCACAGAAAAAATGATTTTGCTGAAATATCTAACAAGTCAGATACTCCTAGATGTAGAATTTGGATATTTCTAAATATAATTTTGTTTGAATCATCAAATAATTATGTGTTACATGATGTTCAAGCTGATTGTTGGAATGTCAAAATCTTTTGTAGCATTGCCATCATACTTGAGTTTCTCATGTATAATAATTATTTTATATAATAATTATTTTATATATAATATATAATAATTATTTTAATGGTCCAAAAATTATTTTCAGATCTGAATCTATACCTAAATTTTTAGATACTTTAGAAAAATCGTTCTTTCTGTATTTATATCTTTCTGAAGGAATTTATATCCTCTCTTTAGTTATTATTTATATCCTTTTATACATGAAAAGAATTCTTCTGTTTTCTTCTTTCATATTTCCCTCTATTATCTTTTCTTTCCAGCCTACTTAAAAGCGACTTTCCAAGTGGGTTTACTCTTGATTAAATTGAAATTGTAATTTAGATCGAAAACATACCTCTCGTCCGGCCGATTTTCATCAGACAACGCGCTCGACGAGGCGTGGGGTTGCGGTTGCTGCTGAAAGTAAAAGCCACCGAGACCTACGGTACCCAGCGGAGTCCTTCGTCCTGGTGCACTTTGAGTGTGCTCTGATGAATACGCTGCCGGTGGGCCTGACACACCCGGGTGCGAAGCTCCTGGTGTCGAATACACGGACTCGAGAGCTGCCGCGGATTGTGGAGGCAATGGATGCTAGAAACAATAATTTTCCGTTAGAATTTTGAATGGGAAATGTGTTAATAATTATGACATTATAATACATTTGTTATTATATCTTTAGAATGTATATAATAATATTAATTAATGTATTTAAAGGAGCAACAGAGTTTAATAATTAATTTAATTTTATCATTTTTAGGAAAATCTTTCTTTAAAAATAATTTAGTATTTGTACTCAAATATTTGTCTTCAACTTTCTGAAAGTCTTCTATTTTATTCTAAAATTTATTTTTTATTTCAATTTAATCTACTATACTTTACCTTGTTGTAGTTTACTTACTTTATTATTGCTGATAAAATATCATAATTCTGTTTCTTTAATTGCTCATTTTTAACTATTTTTTAACTATTTTTTTAAAGAACTCCAATCTAATTATGTGGATTTTGATGAAATGAGTTAGTTTTCACATATAATGTAGTATAAAAAAATAATGTAGTATAAAAAAATTATTTCTTTGAATCAATGAAAATTTCTTTGAAAATAAGATATTCTACTTTTAAAGAAATAGATATTGTATTTTCGAAGCAATTTTCATTGATCCGAAGAAATAATTTTTGTTAATACGAGAGCAAAGAGATATTTCTTTGAAATTAAGATTTTTTTTTCAATATACAATATAATGACTAAATGATGTCATTTATTGACACAAGATTCAATAATTGAGTTTTCAAGCTATGGTGTATAAAAAATGTAAAACTTGTTTTCACAGAGTATCTTTAATACATCATAAACTAATCCATTATTGAACTTTCTGTCTATAATATCCTTTTTCATCACTTTATCAGCTATATCGTTTGTGAAAATTAATTCATTTTACAAGAATTCAATTTCCATATAAAATTAGTATTGAATCCTTTGCAATTATCTATTATTAATCGATTAATAATGGAAGGTAATCAATGGTATAAGTGTTTAATCAAGGACATGTTCTTCATGTCCTTACTTACGGCATTGCGATGCTCCCAGGCCCAGGTAGGATGTGACGAAGTGCGTTGCCAGGATCCTTGCTGCAGATGCGGCTCCGGCAGGCCTTCCCTGCGATCGTCGTCCTCCGTCGAGCTACTCTCGCCATCATAGGACCTCATCTCTTGCGAGGACACTTTCCCGATTTACTCGGCAAATCCCTCCTCACTCTTCTCGCCCTCAATCCCTACATTTGCAAATTTCAATTTTATATGTTTCCCTGTCATAAAAAGACCTTGTTCCAATTCATTTAATAAATATGTATTTATTTTTAAAATTCTTTACATTTTCTTTAAATGATTTTTAATACAGTTTATGTATATCTCAGTTTCTATGGGTGCTCGGTAAAATAAAATAAAATTAAATTAAGTTTCAACATATTTTTTATTTAATATTCCACATTTTGAAACACTTCGGCACTACTTTTTTCGCGAATAATTCATTTCATCTCGCTGAAAACTCATTTTATTTAACGCAGTTTATTTAACTTTTAAGCATTTCACATCTTTTTAATAATTAATTCATTTTCATAATAAATTCATTTTATTATTACATTTCTTTCTCAAACTTTTTCGTTTCTTTAAAAAAGCTCCAAGATTGATTTTACTTCTCGATGAATTTTTCATTTTCTATCCTCAGGAAAGATCTCTATTTTCATTTCCGCATTTTTCTATTAACGAGCACCGCCGCCATTTGTATAGAGGGGTAGCAGGCGTCATCGTTCGTTCTAAATGCAATCAATAGCAAGCGGAACACTTACCGACGACGATTTTCTTTTTCCACCCCCCGCGCGTGCCCCGCGGGGTGCAGAATCCGGCAATCAGCAAAGTTTCTCGCGCACCAGCGCGTAACGCCGGATCATCCCTTCGTCCGAACGTTTCTGCGTTTTCTCAACGAACAGCTCAAACTTTTGCGAATCCCAATCCTGGACGGACTACCGTGGTCTCCTATTGTTCTACCGTTGTAATCACCCAACTCGGCCAATCACAGCCATTTTAATTTGCTGGGGGTTGTCTCGGTGGTCGATGAGAAAAAAATTCCGTGAGTCGGATTTACCTTCGGGAAATTCTTTTTGTGGGAGTTCTGTCTCGCAGAAGTGACGCTTGATAAATAATCTTGAGTTTCTTGTCTCACGACGATGATTTCCGATAAAATCGTCCTTGACGAAATTATCGCCCCCGAACGTGGCACATCCCAGGCCTCAGGGGCACGCACGCGTCTCTCCCCGTTGTTGGGTGGATTCTGCGCAGAAAAGAGCAACCCCCGAATTAATTCGACGACTGTGTGCCAGGGTGCGCCCGTTACGACCGGGGGATGTTGCGCTGGACCATCGACTGGCGTACTCTGGCGGGTAGGACCAAAGATCATCCCTCGAGAGCATGTAGTTACCATCGGAAAAGGGAAATTGTGTCCAAGAGAAGTCGCTAGTTGCCAGAAATATATTTCACGTAAGGTCGCCTTTCATTTCTTTAAATCTTTAACAAGAGTTACTTATGAGAAATGTAAAAATTTCTTTCGCAAGTAATTTAAAGTTTAGAAATTAAAAAGTTAAGAAGAATGATAGTTCGAAAATTAAAATGGAAAATGAATTGTCAAATGAAATTTTTAAGAAAGGAAAAACTTTATTCCAAACTTGGCCCATAACTTTTGGCAAAAGGAAGTTACTTCTAAAATCATTTCTCTATTAATTATTATTCTCTATTAATTATTTCGGTAGTCTACCCACTTTTACTCGCGGAATAGCAAATAACCAAATGAATATCTTATAATAAAATATTTATTATTATTATTACATTTATTACATCATAAATACTGAAATATTTATTATTATTATTACATTTTATCATCGACTTTCTGCAGCATTACATATCATACTGTTATTTCATCTTTTCTTTCAATATTTTACAAAATTTGTTATAATTGGTAAACAGTATTTATTACATAACAATAATAAATATTTCAATATTTATTACATTATAAATACTGAACTTTATACTATTTATTGTTGTTACTTTTTATATATCAATATTCTGCAACATAATACTGTATTTCATCTTTCCTTCAAAAATTTTATATATTTACTATTATATTTATTGCGACAATGAACACAATAGACCTTCTTCTAGACCCTCCACTATCACAAAGAAATTCACGTTGTTCCCTCGATTTTACTAAATTTCTCTTCCTCGTCTTTCCCATTTCTTTGCCCGATCTATCGTGTGTCGAGTTTACAATTCGCCAACATACATCGTCGTTGAATACGATTAACGGACACGCGTTAGAACGCAGAAAAACACCGCGAGCATCACCGGGGATGCCGAGACAATTCGGCGACAGCCATCGCCCCCTCTGTGCGTAAATCACCCCTTTCCTACCCCCTTAAGAACGTCCGAACGCGAATGAACCGGGTAACCCCGGTTAGTTTTACTTATGTGTTGGCTGCGTGCGTGGCGTGCATGCGGATGCGTGTGTTTGCGTTTTATCGTAAACACAACGCGACATAATAATATTCCGAACTGTCGGAGAACCGTAGCGCGGGACCAGCGCTGAGACGCCCGCAACTTCGACATCACATAAATTAATCGAAGGGGTTAAACGAGGTTGTTTGCGCGCGTACTTTATTTCGCGACCTGGAGAGGATAATTAATACCAGCGCGCGAGTATTTGGAGGTGACTAGCGGATGTTTTATGGGTGAAATATTATAAATTTCCGGAAATGCGTCCGGAATAAATTCCCACGTGCATTTAAGCTAAACCAAAGGCGTTTCTTTCGTTATGATGTATCGTAATTAGATTATTTCTATTGTTAGCCAATATTTTGACACTTAATTATGCAAATGTATTGAAGTGTATACGATGGATACGAAAAGTAATCATGTTAAGGGAGATTTTTTGTAAAAAAAAAGTATTATGTGTTGAGAAATGAACATTAATTGTTAATTCATTAACAATGAATAAGGTTCTCTTTTAGTATATATAAAAGAACTTCAGGAAAATAACAGAGTTCATGATCTTAAAAGCTACGTTTCTCGATTATGAATACTTTATTTAATTTTTATCCAAATAATACAATTTTTCATTTTTGTTATTATAAAGATAACACAGCTTAATTATTACACATCTTTTTAGATAAAATAATTTTAAGAAGTCTACAATCTATTTTATTCTTTGTTAAATTACTAAAATGTTTACTTTCTAAAAATAAGATTTTTCTAAAGGAAATCTCTCCTGGTTAAATTCTTTTTACACTTTATTAAAATATATTATTAAGAATATTTTATATTTTAAATTTGGAATAGGTAAATACCAGTGTAATAATCTAAATCTTTGATAAAATTTGATATTTCAGAAACATATTTGAATTACTAAATAAATTCTCTCGTGGTTATTACTTCTCGAAGAAATTATCTATGAATGTCTGTTATTCTAAACGAAATAAATTTAAAAGTAACTCGATAATTGAGTCTTTCTCTTACATTTTCGACTTGAATAAATTTAATAAACGTTATAAATTAAAATGGACTTCTTTGCAGGAATAAATAGAATAATGAAAAATATCGAAAAAGCACATACTCAAAGAAACATAATTGATTTAATAAGAATTTAAAAATACTGAAATATCTTTATAATATTTAGATTTCCATTCTTTCGTAAAAGATTTACGGCTGAAAGAGCTGAATTATTGAGAATACATCGATGTGTTTCGTTCGCGAGATACGCGCAAAATCTTTCTAGGTCGGGCAGCAACCATAGCGCCTGAAGATTTATCGTTTCCCTCGCACTGAGAAATATCCCGAGATCTCGAAAATAATTACGAGCGTGTCTGCTTTGCTGTACTGCGCAGAATTAATCATGCCTGCACATTCAGATCCATTAGGGAAGCATAAAGTAACTGCGGCAATTAATTCAACAAACGTATTCTTATTTATTTTCATAATAAATTCTTTGCAGTATTTTAAGATATTTATTTACACCATTTTTTTAAATTGACAATCCATGTTACGTCGCGATATTATTTCCTTCAATTTATTAAATTGCATTTTAAATCCAACGAATTGAATTGCAGATCTGTAACTTTTTCTATAATAATATTTCTCTCATAATGTATTACATACAATTTTATTTTACACACCCTCGTGATTCTTAAACAACTCAGAAATACCATTCGAATCATGGAAATCTCAAAAATTGTATAAACTCTATTTTATTATATTTAACTACATATTATTCCGAAATAAAATAAAAAATTATCTCACTTTATTAATACATTAGAGTTGTAGATCCTCTTCTCTGTATAAATTTTTCAAGCAAACCTCAATAAAATTATTATATGCTGTTATTATCATTTCTCAAAATTCTGTCAAGAAGCAGAATTTATTAACATTATTTATTTATCAACTTTATATTTCCTCTACGTAAATTCGAAGTAGCCTCAAAAATCTAATTTGATACATTTAAACGTGATCATTGTCATTTTTAATAATATTTATATCAGAAAGCAGGATCTGTCCTAGTTATCTTCTTATTAATATTATATCGCCTCGTACTGTTTGTACATTCGTCCCATAAATCTCAAGCAGGTCGGAAAGACTTGCTCTAAAGGAATTAAACACGACCGTCGTCATCTCATCAAAACGTTATCAGGAAGCAGGTTCTGTCCCAATTATTTCCGAAAGGAAAGGAACGCATCGATGAGAGAAAGAGCGGCCGGAAGGAATATCGAAGAAGGTAGAAAGGGAAGAAAAAGGATCGCACATAAGCATTTATCAGACATATCTATCAAGCGTATAACACCGCTCGGTACGATGTATAGATCGCGAGACTGATGATAGACAAGGAAAGATAGACAGATAAATAGATGGATAGATAAATAGATGATAGGGAGAGAGAAAGAGAGAGACAGAGGGAGGGAGAGGGACGGGGAGTGGTGGTTGGCGTTCGGGGGTGGTTTTCGGGCCGACGTGCGGCCGGACTCCTGAGGGATGAGGGACGACGAGGGTTGCCAAGGCAACCCTCCGTGCCAGCCAGCCTCGGCTTACTTTAGCCCGCTCGCTCTCGCGATCAATACAGCATCCCCCGGTGAGCTCCCGGACCAAACGCAACCCCTCCCCCGCCGTCCCCGCCGCTCGTCGCGTCCCACGCCGCACCCCCTCTGTACTCGCCCCGAACCCTTCCTCCGCGTCTCCTTCTCCTTACGTACCTCTCCACGTGCGCATTACCGTCGACCGTCACAAACCAACCCCCTCTCACCATCCCCCGCTTCGCCGCGCCCCGTCATCTCGCGATTCCTTTCTACGTTTATCTTCGGGTGTGTTTTCCTCCGTTACTCTCTCTACCTTTACCTTCCTTCCTCCTTTCCCTCAGCCCTCTCCCATCCCGACGAATTTGTCTCGAAAATCTCGTTTTATGCAACGCCGTGCACTTGGAGAGACTCTTTTGCATTTGTTTATTTACGAATTATCGCTTGTTCGACGTTTGACACAACGCTCGTGACGAACCATTCGGCAACCCGGCTGTAAACAAAGCTATGGCTAACGAAGTTCAGCTAGTCGATATTGTGATTAAAAAAATATGATATTCGAAACGCAACGTTATTGAAAAACGCAACGTGAATACAATATAAACAAAATATGTTCTCGTTATATCGTGTATCTGGAAACGAAATATAAAGAGTTACTAATGAAAAATAAATGAGATACTCTTTTCATTCGTGTTATCAATGGTTGCGTTCAGCAAAAAAAGCAGCTTTGCAGTTTTTAAATTCTTTAATACTACTGGTCTCTTGTCTTTCCTCACTGAATCTAAATGTATATGGAAAAGAAGATTTTGCTGAAGCATTTAAAAATTTAGCTAGATACAGATCTGAAAATAATTTCGTTGAACCAAATAATTATATAAGACGCTCAAATTAGAATGTCAACATTGCTCATCATGTTTAAGACTATTACTATTAATATTATTATTTCTATTAATGACAACAAATTGTTTGCCGATTTTATCCAATTAAGTGTTTAGATATTCCAGTAAAATTGTTCTTCTCATCTTCCTCTGTATATACACGGAAAAAAATATTAATAAATATTAATAAATATTAATAAATATTTATTCGAATAGTTCCAAGTAAATATTTGTTGAATGTATAAATATATGTATATTTATTTAATAGAAAAACCTTCAGCTATC